ATTTTTGGATTATTACAATGTGGAACTCGTCGGGTTCCATAAACAGATTGAAGAATATGTTCCGTCCTCCTATGGATAATTCACAAATGTATCAAATACAACTGAAAAACATCCTAGGCTCGGATACCACTGATGATTTATCAGCATAACTACTACCTATGTGTTCATGCAACCCTAATTGCTTTGAATCTAATTTTTTCACTAGTTGAACATGCAATTGAATACCAATAACCCTAGATGTAGCATACAACTTCGAAAATCATATAACAAAAGGGTTTTGAGGATTATCTTACTTGTTATATTGTAATACCAAGAAACCTTGTAGATTATTGACTCTTGAAAGCTTAGTGTCTTAAATATTGCACCTTTAATGGTTTACAAACACCACTAGCAAGAGGATGAGAGGAAATAGGAGGAATACCCTAAGAATTTCGGCTGCGGTTCAGTAGATTCAAGCATTGGCCGAAACTCCAAAGTTGATGGGGTCTTTATATAGTTGTGGGATGCTATTGTTTTCTAGAGGAAACCCTAAGTTCCTGTTTAAGGCTTAAGCAGCCCATGGACTGCTCATCAAGAGGCTTTGGATAAATCTCGTAGGGCCTCCTATAATTTTCATCCACTCCATTGTAAGGAGTCCAATAGCCCAGTTTCACAACTATCAATGATTCGCAAAATAGCCACTATTCCTTTAATCAGTTCCTTTAATCCCAAAATTAATTATTGAATAAATACCAATCAATTTATTATTCCAAATAATAAATTCAACCTCTCTCTCCAAAAATCATGATGTGAAGTTGCTAGGGTGAAGTCAACCCAAAAAGACCATCCTACTATCAAATTAAGTACACACCAATTATAGTTATGAGCTTAGACACCTAATCCAACAGTTTTCAACACAACTTAGAGGTAACTCTGTACAAATACGCACTCAACTATCAAGATCCAAGAAAGGAGACTTCAGTGCATTTGACATATATCATAAAATGATGACACTTGTTGACACAATGGCAAATATTGGCCATCCCATGTCTAACAAGGAGGTTATTTTTTATATACTAGCTGACCTCAGACTAGGTCATGGAGATCTATTAACTGCCATCACAGTCCTCAGTGATCAACATAAGGTAACTTTAGTTGAGTTTTATTCCTACTAATAGCTCATGTAGCGCAGGCCTCTGCTACTAATAGCATGACTGAATCCACCTCTTCAGCAAATAGCGTGACTCACCAAGGTTCAAATCAACTACAACGAAACTCAAATAAGTCCAATCATTAATCCTACAATAACCAGCTATCCAATTACCATGGAGCAAGATCAAATAGAGGTCGTAGACATGGCCGAGGTAGGAGAAATGGTGGCCCAATATGTCAAGTCTATTTCATACCTGGTCATAGTACACTCAATTGTCGAAACATGTTTAATCATGCTTATGATGCTGATGATTATTGTGGGGGTAACTACAAGTTCTTACAATGGAGATCCAAATTGGTACATTAGCAATGGGCTATGGATCATCTCAGTGATCCAAATTGGTACAGTCGATCCAAGGCTTTTAAATCAATGAAAACACCGTTCCAACATAGCCAAATGCGACACAAGATGCCCCGATGCCACCAGAAACACCAGTAACATCACCTGAACCAGTCTCTCCTGAACTGGTTTCTCCTGCGCAGTCATCACCGATAGCTCCAGTTACTAATACAATCCCAACAGCTTCTCCTTCAGGTGCTATTACTCATGGTTAACTGGGCAAATCATTTCCTAAACAGTATAATGATGGAACTATTATGTATAATCCAAATAGAAGGGCATTTTTCAGTTCTCCCACTTCTCATAAGTGAGCTCTGTCTGATCCAAATTGGTGTGAAGCAATGAAAATAGAATATGATGCTCATCATGCAAACAACACATGGGTTCTTGTGCTCAGACCATGTAGTGTCAATATAGTTGGCTGCAAATGTAATTTTAAAGTTAAACGACATCCATAGAGTTCCATTGACAAGTACAAAGCACGTTTAGTTGCTCCTGGTTCCACTCAACGGTATGGCATTGACTATCAAGTAACATTTAGTCCCGTAGTAAAAACCGCAACGACAAGACTAATTCTGTCTCTGGTTGTTTCTTGCAAGTGGCATATTTGCCAAATCGATGTCAACAATGTGTTTCTTCATGGTCTCCTACATTAAGACGTATAGATGAGTCAACCCCCTGGTTCTAAAGATTCCAAAAGACCCCATTATGTGTGTAAGCTTAAAAAGGCAATCTACGGTCTTAAACAATCGCCATGTGCCTGGTTCTCCCATCTCAGTGAAAAACTATATCATATTGGTTTTTAATCCTCCAAGGTCGATACCTCGCCATTTCACTTGAATCATGGTGGAGTTATTATTTACATGTTGGTCTATATCGACGATATAATCATTGTTGACTATTTTCATTATTGATAATTCTACAATAGGATTGAACGGCAAATTTTGGGAAAGATCTAGATCACTCTATCAATTAGATAACCATTTTCATCAATTATAAAAGTTTATATGAAGATTAGAAGGCATTAGCAACAAAATTATGAAACAAAATATGAATCTCACTTACGATGAAGGTCAATTAAAAACTGTGAAAAGATCTAATAGTCGGATGAAGAAAAGAAAGAAAATTTAGTTGGGATAAACACACCAACATAGTTAAACATAAACATCATTACTTTATAAGCTAGTATAGTAACTGCGGTCAATATAAAGTATTAATCGCAACAATACCCATAGCATTCAAAAGCATTGATGACGTGGAAAAAAAAATCTTATTTATGATTTTGTCTCACTTCAAAAATTGCTACAGTTGATAGAAAATCAAGTTCAATTGATGCTAAAAAAAAACAAAATACTTTTTTATTCTAAATTATTTGGTTTCCAAATTCGATGAGTGAATTAAAAATGGAGTTTAATTGATGAGTTTTACTAACCTTTATCAGAGAGGCATGCCAAAATCGCTTGCATGAGCAAAAATATGTATGATTAGAAGCAATAATTACCAAATTCGGTGGGGTATGCAGTAGAGAAATGACCAAAGAAATCGAAGATGAAGAAGTTTGACATTAAGGGTTGAATCGAAGATGGGGGTAAATACCCATTTGCTCAAAACACACGCAGTTGATTGTATGCAGTGTTCGCCATGGCGTGAGGCGTGGCTTCGCAGTTACGAAAAACTTCATAATGTTGATGTTAGGCGTGACGCGTGGTAAGGCGTGATATGGCGCGTTATGGCGTGTTATGGTGCGTGTTTTTTCGTTTGAGACACAGTTATTTGCTCTTTGTTATGTCTTTTCAAATCGGAGATACAAGTATTGTGATTTTTGTTAACTTTTTGTTATTAGTTATTGATCTAACACTTCTAAAAAGTAGTTATATTTAATATAAATTTAAATTTATGTCGTAATATAATTTTAAATTAATACAAAATCGCCGCCTTACATCACGCCTTGAAAAACGTCATGACTCGTTAAGCTTGAAGCTTGGCCTTGCCGCCACGCCACGCCTCACGCCATTTAGAACCTTGATTGTATGTGTTTAATCTCTTTGTTGAATACAATAATAATAGTGAAAATAAGGCTAATAATAAGAGTCCGCTTGATTTCATTCGACAACCAAAGGAGGTGGAAATGGGGACAAAAATTGACAAGGCTAATAATAATAGTGGCAAATTTCCGAAGAAGAAAAAACACTGTTCATAAAAGCTAGGGAAATGGAGAGGAAAAATACACTGTTAATAAAAAGGCTAATAATAATAATAATAATGAATATTATTATTAACATTAATAATTATAATAAGAAGAAATTTCATTTAATCTATTTAAATTAAAAAATTATAAAAATAAGCAAACTTTAAACATTACCGACAGATTTTTTGAATTATTATATTCGATCGACAATCGTCTAAATTATTTAAAAGAAAAGTTTCAAATTTACCTTACAAAATGGTACAGATTTAAAATTGCTAAAATAAGTTGCTAATCCAGCAAAAAAAAAATTGGATCCCAACGGTACTTTTATATTTGTCGCAAACCAATCCGTCTCATATCGAATGTTTGTAAAATTCTCTCAATAAGTGGGGCTTGTGTGGTAGTGATATTTATGATAAATTAACAAAATATATGTATAACTTGTATAATTTATGTGATTTGATGAATTTTGATATACCGAATGGAAGATGAACTCGACATGATTAAAATCGAGAATAGAAAGAACAAAAAAAAAAAAAAAAAAAAAATACATTATTGAAATTGGGGAAACAATCAGAGTGAGAATAGGAAGACCCTCTGATACCATATTTGCTTTTAGAATTTTAGATGATAAAATGTTTGAGAGATTCATTTCATTACTTGGAAAAAAAAAACATGGAGTTTATATACATGGGTAAGAGCTTAACCTACACACATGAAGCTAAAAAGAGCCTAACGGTAAATGATTAAGAAGAATAAACTTTTCTGTCTTTTGTTTTAACTTTTACTAACTTAATTACCCTCAAGGGTAAATATATCCAACAAACTGATGTAGATGTAGATGTTGATAGAGGTGTTGATTGGGTAAACTTTTCGGGTTTCGGGTAATTCGGGTATTCCATATAAAAAAAATTACCCATTACCCTACCCAAATTAAATTCGGGTAATTCGGGTAACAGGTCGGGTAAGGGTAATTCGGGTATTACTCGATTTTTTTTTTTTTTAATTTTTTAATGGCACCTAAAAATAAATGTAATGAAATAAGTATGTCGTGCTAAACTTTAAACATTGAGATTTTTTACTCAATAATATTTGAGATATTGAGTATTCGTTTAACAATTTAGTCAAATCTAATAAGATGTTAAAAAACCAAATACTTAAAGAAATAATAACAACCAAAGTCTATCATTTAAATTACTTGATATCAATGTATATGCATGTATTTTGCATTTACCAAAAAACTCACGACTTAAATCTAAAAATAGAAAACCATTATATAGTATGAAAATAATAACATATCAAGTTTCAAAAGATATTCATAAATATACTCGTCTTCTTGCACCTACTCGTTCTTCTTGCACCTTCATTACTTCATCTTGCTCAATTCTATATAAAAAAAAGTCAAATAATGTTAGTATTAAAAGGGAAAGATATTAAATTTACAATAACTAAAATAATGAATGATAAACAATTACCGTTGTCAATTTGTTGATTTTCTTCCCAATCTTTTTCATAATCGATTATGTCACTTATACTACCCCGAATCCAATCTTGTGTACAAATTAAACTTTCAACAATCTTATGAGTTAAATAACTCCTAAACGGACCCAACACCCTCCCACTAGTGCTAAAAACGGATTCCGAAGCTACAGTTGAGATGGGAATGGCAAACACATCTCTTGCCATCAATGATAGAATCGGGAATATTGGACTATTCACTTTCCACCAATCTAGAATACTAAACATATTTGAGTCGTCTTCAACACTTTCTTGCAAATACTTTTCTAACTCCCCAATTGATTCAACTATGTTCGTCTTCATCTTTTCTCTTAGTTTATTTTTCAATGGGGGATTAGGTGCCAAAAAATCTCGGTTTTGGCGTTTCCCTAGTATCGATTATGAAGTGGTAGACTCGGTGGTATTTGAAGTGGAACTTGGAGAATGAATTCTAATATAATCATTATATAATTCATACATAGAATCCATGGTATATTTCTTTTTGGCCTCCACCCCCGTTTCTCCATAACGATCCTCCAGTAGTATAACCAAATACTTTACTTTGTTTCTCGGATCAAGAATCAAAGCAAAATAGAGCAATAATTCATTTTTTTCTATGTCGCCAAAATACTTATCAAACTTCAATTTCATGGCCAATGCAATATCACAAAGACTAGAATCGGAAATAGCATAGCGTACGAATAGAATATATATCTTCAATGCATGTGTTTGATGTCACATAAAGTGTCCCGGAAATCCTCAAAGTAACATCATGAAAAGGTTTCAAAAAATGACATACATTCCTAACCCTTTCCCAATCGCTTGATGAAGGTATTGACAAACCCGCCTTTTCAATTTCGTACCGAAAATCAAATTCCTCAAGATCATATCTCTCAAAAGTTTTTTCGTAAGCTTGGGCAATTTCCAACATATGGTAAGTGGAGTTCCATCTTGTTGGTACATCTCTCTTTAAGTGTTTTGATATACCGGGATTAGCAATGACAAAATCACGAAATCACGAATAATCAAGGACGAAATCACGAAATTTAACTTTAAAATAAAAGAAATTGATAGTTATCACATACATTCAAGCCAAGTTTGAACTTCAATCGTTGAATTCCAAATATCCTGGAAGTGACGATTGGCGAGTATGAGTGTGACGTTGCGAGGCTGTGACGAGCGACGGCGACGACCAACACCGGTGACGACTGATGAGGCGGGGACGACCGGGGAGGAGGCAGGGGCGATCGGCTGTCAGCTGGAGGTGATCGGTGATGAACAAAGATGCGATGCGAGGGTTTTTTGACAATAAAATAGAACGAGTGAGGCAGGGAACTGGGATAATTAACTCATATAGCAATAAAATATACTAGGCCATCATTATAGTTTTAATAAATTTTCAGGTAATCGGCTATACCCGAAACTCCAAACACTTACCCTTTACCCAACCTGATAAAAATTCAGGTTACCCAGATACCCGAAAACATTTACCCGATACCCGATTTACCTGACCCGTTTTACCCGATCCTCGAAAAAATCGGGCGGGTAATTCGGCTAACTGGTATTTTCGACAGGGCTAGATGCTGATATACATAGATAGGATCCACTTTATTGTTAAAGGTTGACATGATTGATCTTGTAAGGATCACCATAAGATTTCCTGTTATTATCTATAGGTTCGCAAATAAATACAACCATGCATTCAATTTGCTCACTCAACCATGGAGTTCTACCTCTTAGTATCAACTATTGTTGCAACAATCTTTGTCTCTATTCTTGTACACCGTTTACTACTCCCTATCCTCCACAGAAAGAAGGAAAACACAGGGAAGAACCTAAAGCCACCACATGCAAAAGGAGCATGGCCGATAATCGGACACTTACACCTTTTAGGTGGACCTGAGCTACCTCACAAGGTTTTAGGTGACATGGCAGAAAAACATGGCCCTATCTTCACCATCAAGCTTGGTGTTCATCAAGCTTTGGTGGTGAGTGATGCAGCGATTGCTAAGGACTGCTTTACTACTAACGACAAGGCCTTCGCAAGTCGACCGAAAACAGAGACATCAAAAACCATGGCGTATAATAATGCCGTGTTTGGCCTGGCTCCATATGGGGACTATTGGCGAAAAATGCGCAAGATGGTCGTGTTGGAGGTTCTTTCTCAACAAAGAGTTGAAATGCTTCGACATATTCGAGCTTCAGAAGTTAGAGCATCCGTGAAAGAGTTATATGATTGGTGGGTACTGAATAAACTTACTGAAAGTTCAGAGTCACAGTCACAGATGGTCAAGGTGGAGATGAGTCAATGGTTTGGGAACTTGGTTTTAAACATTATGGTTAGGATTCTTACAGGAAAGAGGTTTTCGCCAAATCATGAAGAAGGGGTTCAATTTCAGGCTGTGGTAAGGAAGTTCTTTGAGTTAATGGGGGCACTTGTGCTTTCTGATTTTATACCTTATCTCAACTATTTGGATGTCGGTGGATACAAAAAAGTGATGAAGAATACATGGAAGGATTTGGACAATATCTTTGACCGATGGTTAAAGGAGCACAAACAGGAGATTAAGTCTATACAACAACATGAAGCGAACCAAGACTTTATGCATGTGCTAATTTCCATTCTTCAAGATGCTTCTGAAGATCAATTCCCGGGTTTTGACCATGATACAATTATCAAAGCGACAAGTCTAGTAAACTCAACCTTTTTATCTCATTGTTTCGTGATTACATTAAATATTTCTTCATCCTTTTAACTATATATATAACCTAATCCACGAGTGTTTAATTTGTGTAAACTCCTGTTCACAGCAAATCCTATTAGCAGGCGTTGACACGACATCTTTGACATTAACGTGGGCTTTAGCATTATTGCTCAACAACCCAAAAGCATTAGAAACTGCCCAAGATGAAATTGATGAGCATGTTGGAAGGGACAGATTGGTGGAGGAGTCAGACCTAAAGAACTTAGTCTACCTCAATGCCATCATTAAAGAAACTTTACGATTATACCCAGCTGGACCTCTCTCTGTTCCTCACGAGTCACTGGACGACTGCTGTGTGGGTGGCTATAACATTCCAAAAGGAACTCGTCTTTTGGTAAATCTTTGGAAGTTGCAACGTGACCCAAATATCTGGTCAAATCCCGAGGAATTCAAGCCTGAGAGATTCTTGACAAGTCACAAGGATATCGATGTCAAGGGAAACCATTATGAATTGCTTCCTTTTGGTAGTGGTAGAAGAATGTGCCCAGGTGTTTTATTTGCCTTTAAGGTTTTGGGTTTAACGCTAGCTCGTTTGATACAACAGTTTGTGCTCAAAAAACCATCAGACGAACCTGTTGATATGACTGAAAGCATGGGGGCGACTAATGGCAAAGCAACACCACTTGATGTTCTTTTGGGCCCTCGTTTACCCTCTAATATGTATAATGTCGGTTCGTGATATATCAACTTCAAATGCCATACAAATCGCATTCCATCAATCATTCTCCATAAAGCAATCAATTATGATGGTGGCAGCAAAATAACCCAATTATGACAGCCACTGTGGAACATGAATGATCGGTTTTTGAATACTCCTATTATTTATAAAGTAATTAATAAAAGCTTGATAATTATTATGTAATGAAGTCATGTGGCTGCATTCTACTCATCTGGTTTATATATGTGTTGTGTACCGATCACATTCCATATGATAATGTTTTCACTGTCACAATTAAGATTATATATGTGTGTTGTGTACAGATCATTTTCATATGATAGTGTTACGGAAAGTATTTTTCAATTAGATTAAAAGAATGGATGATTAGAGTATCCTGTGGAGGTTAATGGAAGTGTTGAATCACTACAAGAATAAGCACCTATAGGGATGAGTTCTATAGAGACGATATAAGTCGTCGCTATAGGTTTTCTATAGGGACGACATATCGTCACTATATAGTTGACCATTTTTTATTGACTTTTTTAGATACTGAGACGACTTTTTGTCTCAACATGTTAAGCGGGAAAAATAAGGGATTGGTGCGTTCTTTAAACACCTATAGGGACAACATATCGCTCTAATAAATAACGAAAATTAATAGTAACATATTTTTTTTAATCGTTTAACGGAAATAAAGAGTTTTGAGGTAAATATAGGGACGACTTATCGTCCCCATAGCTAATTTCTATGCCCAAAAAATACATATTTTTAATCTATTTGGTTGGAAAAGTGAAAACGATGTCGTTTGTTTGTGGGTATAGACACGATAGATCGTCCTCATAGGGTTATGATCTTAGGATCCTTTTCCGTTTGGGCGTCTCGGGTCTCCGGTCTCATCTTCTCTGGGTGCTTGGGTGCTCCGTGCTCATCGAATAACTTGTCTCAGGATCCATCTTCCCCCTTCACTAACCCTAACGCCTCCATCTCTATTTCTCGTTCAAGGCTTACAACTCAAGCAAATCTCTATCTTTTTGTACAGGTTCGTTGAATCTCATGCACATCTCTATATGTCTATGTTTTTTTGTTCCTTCTTCTCCATCCCTAACTCGTGATTTTCTATGATTTCACGGTAGCTCTCTTAGTCGCTGTCTTAGGATGCGATTTGCTCCCACCAATTCTGGTTCCCAGCATATTAAAAGGTATTTTGTTTTAGCATTGATAATCACAGTTGCTTTTTCATGTACCATATTCACATATTTACTTCAATTGTTATTTACAGATTTACTTCAATTGTTGAAATCTTCTCATATCTAGTTGAGAATTTCTTATGTTTGCTGAAGAAAATCCATTATTTTCATCCAATTTTGGGTTTTTAAGCTGCATGATTACAATTTTGAGTTCATTATAAACTTGGATTTTATGTGTTATAAGGAGAAGGAACAAATGAATTGACAATGTTAAATGCCAATGATACAATTATACCCTTTTGTTGAAACTCCTCAGGTAGCTTAAAAACCATGTCTTCATTGCAATTATCTGGAGATAATCCATCATTAAACATACAGAAAACAAACACTTTAGCATTCTCAATATCTTTAATTTTGCAAAATCCATTAACCAATGCCTTGTAAGTAAACAAATCAAGCTTTAATCCTCCATACAACCTTGCAATAAGCATTAATCAGCGTGTTACAAGTGATTTTATCATGAACAACTTTTTCTCAGTCATTTCATTCAACAATTTGTTTACATCCTTTATTCTTCCATCTTCACATAATTTAGTTTCTTCCATACCATGTATCATATCTGAACATGATTCAAAATTTTCATAATTATTGCTTCTGTGTCTTCTAATGTAGTTTGTGGTGAGCTATTGCTGACACCATATACTTCTTGACCTG